AAAGAAAGAGAGAAAGAAAATTAGCATAAGCTTTTATGTAGACCCATTTTAGCATCAGCCTAATAGCCCAAGTAATACAAATAGTGTATTTTATTCAACTATAATCTACTGAGAGCCAACTCTTTGAGGTTTCATGCTATAATCAGTGGGAAATTAAAATGCACAATATATGACAATTATGATATAGTTCTTGCACTTAAGGAGACTATAACCCATTATATTTATACAAAAGTATTATAAATTGTCTTAATGTGATAAACTAGTTACACAGTCATGGCACAAGTGAAGAAATAAAGCTTAGCCAAATTTGAAGCATCCAGGGTATTGAAGCCAAGGGTTATTGAAATCTGTAAAAGACATATGAGCAGCCTCATGATGAATTTTAACTTCCTTTCAATAACTTTTTTATCATATCTGAAAACCACGAATAAAACTTTGGATTTCCCCTGCTTTCTTTCTGTCTTTATCAAGCCAAAGATGACTTAAATGTTGATAAATGGAAAAAAAACAACAACAACTATAAGGAGTCTATGCGAATTATAATTGGAAAGCAGCTTTTGAATTGAGGTTAACTATTCTAAACACTGTTTTCATGGAATCTTATTTTAATAGTTTAATGACTTCAGATGGTTTGCTAAGGAAATGATGGTTCTTAGAAAAATGTTAGTATTATTTGCCAAAGGTTGTTTTCTAGATATCGTATTGTAATATGTAGACTCTGGGCATATGCTGCTCCAGAAGCAACTGAGTTAAAACTGGGCTACGTTCCAGGTGAAATACATGAAAACACTAAAGTTCCTTGAGGAAAAATACATAGGAACAATTTTATATCACACCATTATTTAAAATTTTTTTTTAAATTGATTTCAGAAAGAGGGAGGGAGAGGGAGAGAGCATTAGAAACATCAATGAGAAACATTGATTGGCCTCCTGCACACCCCCTACTAGGGATTGATCCTGGGCATGTACCCTGACCAGGAATCAAACTGGCGACCTCCTGCGTCAACTTTCAACCAACTGGGCTGTACCAGCAGGACTGAATCCTACTATTTTTAAACAATGGAATGGTTCACGGACAGATTATTATATCTAATATGATTTTGACCATTTGCACAAGTTTAAACTAATCTTCCAGTGAAAAAGTTATGTAAATTTTCTTTTCAAACCTGTCAAATATTATAGAGATGTTAACCAATTTTGCCCAATTTCACTAACAAGCTATAATCATGATTTATATTATTTAGTAATTTAAATATTAACTAATCAGTCTTTGCTATGTAACATATTAATTTTGGAATCTTTTCCACAAAGGCAAATATCACTTTTACTAGGTTTCTTTGTATCTGTCTAAATATATCAACCACTAACAGTAGAATGAGAGAGACATCCATATGCTATCTGAATTGTTAATTCTGAAATTAAAAAAAATTGATAAACTTTGAAAATAAGGAGTGCCATTATATTATATACCAGATGGAAAAAGGTTTTACTGATTAGATAAGTGAAATTTTAAAATTAACAAAATGTATTAAAAGTGGCTTCCTGTGTGGTGATATTGCCATCTGTGCCCACACCAAAAACAAGGATGTTTAACCTAAAGTTCTAAGTACATGTATATGCAAAGCCTTCAATACATAATAAAACTATTCCATGAAGTCACACCTGTGGTTGGAAACTGCCTAAATTGAGATGAATAAAATCTGTTTTATAATTTACTAGGCAAAAGATGTTATAACAACAGCTAGAAACAAAGTTCCTTCATAATATTAATTTCAGAAATGTTCTGTAAAGGTCATTGGAAACGTTCATTAATCTGCTATCAATAACCCCATCTGGGATATGACCCAAGCTGAAGGGTGAGAGAGGGGGGTGCTAGTGGGACACACAGTTTCTTTTCAGAGGCAAATTCCTGAACTACAGGGCGCTTTCTATCACTTCTCCCTCTATTCCCTAGAGACAATGGATGCAAAGGTTTCCTTTGAGTGAGAGACAGACACTAGGGAAATTTCAGTTAACATATAACACTATGCGACGTTTTAATGTGTTTAAATAGTCTATATATAACAAGGGGGCTTGAGACTAGAAGTCATTGTTTCTTTTTGTTTGTTTGCTTATTATTATTTTTTTTTGAAAACTTGATTTCTAGAAGTCAGTTAGACGTTATTGAAGTTGTCAGAAAATTTCTGATTCATTTAACTGAAGACTTTTCTTTGTTACATTTCAAAAAGCATAGTGGACCCTCTGATTTTGCAAGAGGGACAGCCACAGTCCTTTCCCCAGGGGAGGAGTTGGAGGCATCCAGGAGTTAAATTTCCCTTATAATGATGTTTCATTACCACCACATTTGCCCTCCGGGGATTATTACTATTGACTCAGAAGCAGGCCTGAGACTGCAGAAGAGGAAAACCATTTCCTTTGCCCTTACAGAGCCCTGAGAAAGAAGGGGTTGACCTTGAAGGATCTGGGTAGTGGAGAGTAGATGCAAAGAAGTAGATGATAGGAGACTAAGGAGAAAGAAACCAAATGGTAGACCATTTACTATCCATCACAGATACACCCTGTTAACTCAGTCAACACAATGGAGGGTATTTTAGGCCTGTGTATTCTAAGCAGTTATTTATTAACTGAGATCAACAGACATTACAATGTTTAGCTTCTCAGCAATCTTTGCTACTCTTTTACGTGGGGATGGTCTCGGTGGGGACAGTGAAACCTCTGAAGTATATTTAGGAAATATGAGTGGGCATTCTGGGTTGTCTCAACAATGGAAGAACTACTGCTATTTAGAGGTTGAAGGTCAAGAAAGTTAGACATCCTCTAAATTTTTGAAAGAGTCACATGCTACAAAGAATTGTCTTGTTATATTATTTGAATGGACCCTTATTCATGTGGTTTCAAAGTAATTTAATGATCCAAGAAATAAACTCTTTAAGATATATAAAACCAAGGTATTTTTGCAGTTTTAAAGTTCACTGAATATTTCAGAAATGCAACCGTTATATACAATAAAGGCAGACTAAACATTGTTATCTTTGAAAATTTACCAGGGGTTGTTTACCATTTTGGAAAATGTATCACCCCATTCTAAATATGTGAGTCACAACTACAAACCACCTATAAATTAGTCTCTTTTTGACTGTTTTAGATTCTCCATGTAAGTAAGATCAGGTAGTATTTGTCTTACTGTGTCTGGCATAAAGTCTTCCAGATTCATGTTTTTACAAATAGCAAGATTTGCCCTAACTGGTTTTGCTCAGTGGATAGAGCGTGGCCTGCGGACTGAAAGGTCCCAGGTTCAATTCCAGTCAAGGGCATGTACCTTGGTTGCGGTCACATCACCAGTAGTGGGTGTGCAGGAGGCAGCTTATCAATGTTTCTCTCTCATCGATGTTTCTAACTCTCTATCCCTCTCCCTTCTCTTCGTAAAGACGCTCTCTCTCTCTCTCTCTCTCTCTCTCCCATCTCTCTCATAAAGTGAAAATAACCTGAACTTTCAGAAACTAGGGGTACCTGTATATCATTTCATTATAAGAATAAGATATTTTTGCAGCTGAATTTTATCTAACTTGAAGAGATATTCAATACCAGTGTCAATACTTTAATATGCTGATACACACACATACACAAAGACACACATTTTTAAGTAGATAGCCTGTATGGCAAATATCTACAAACAAAGCAAGTATTCATCAATAGAGAATTAGCTGAATAAATTGTGATGTATTTGTACCATCGAATATTACACAGCATTTAAAAAGAGTAAGTTATGTTCGACTCAGGTTTTGTATTATTTGGTGAGAAAAAAAATCAAGAACCAGTACAGCATTCATAATAAAATGACATTTTATAAAACAAATGATAATATTATGTAAAATATTGATATATGATTATATGAAATAAGAGAAAAATATAGAAACATTCATACTAGGTTATCATGTATTATATTAGAGGGCTGGAGGATCAGAGGGTTGTGAAGGAAAGTACAGACAAAGTAATAGAGGAAAACATGCATGTGTGTGCATCTTTAGACAAAATTACATGTATGTATAAAGAATCAATTTTAAAAAATAAAAATGTAAATAAATGCAAAAAGTGAAAATCACCTATCACAGTGAAGAAGCTTTGACTGGTTAAAATTCTTCTCTGAGAAAGTCATGATTTGGAAGTGTGCTTTTGGGAAAGTCAGTTTCCTTCTATGTGCCTTAGTTACCCACTCATTTTTTTCTAAAACAACCGTACGAGAACATGTTCTCTGTCTTACATAAAATACGATGTGGGTATACATGACAAGAGACATGTTTGTGATCACATTCTCTATGCCTGGGTTACCGTGACTCACTGCTACGATTCGGATTCGTAGTTCTAACATTTTGGATGAGTTTAACTCACAATAGCTCTTGCCCAGTGAGGGAGGTTTACTGACATTCAGCTTAAAAAATAAAAGCACGAGTCTGAAACTTATTTTTTTTTTAATATTGTAAAGTCTTTAAAGTTAGAGACGAAATTTTCTCTGAGAACAATAGCCATTTCTCTCATCGTTGAATTTTTCAAAGGCAATTCTGTTGACTCATTTACGATCTTATTTTAGTATTAGCTAAAACTAGAGCAATTCAGAGTGAGACATACATTTTATCACATTCTATCTGAGACATTTTTATTGAAATTAGAAAAATTAAACTCCCAATGACTTCAAATAGACCTTCCTGAGAAAAACTAACAAATTAACATTAAAATACAGAAGCTATTTCTAAGGCAGGAAAACTTTTAATTTTTAACTTCCTACATTTTTTGTCAACAGGAAAAGTTATAGATAATGAAAAGTAGGTTTTCCTTTTTCAGAAGAAAGGTGGGATTGGGTATCTCCTGGTTACTTTTTCTTTCCTTTCTTTTTCTTGTCTTTGTCATGCATGGAGATGGTCTTCTTGGCTGTCTCTGCCCGCAGTGCTGCTTCCTCTGCAGCCAGAGCCTCCAACCTCAGGCGCTCAGCCTCCAGCATCTTGTTTCTATACTCTTCCCGAATATTGAAGATCTTTTGACGGGCATCATCTAAGGAGTCCTATTTCAAAAGAAAAACTCAGTCAAATAAGACCCACTGCTAAAAGGCGTATGGTCCCAGAAAACAAACAAACAAACAAGCACAACAATGCAAGACCTTGATCCTTTCTTTATGCCAGTAGATTCATGGGGAAAATGACTGAAGAAAGATGCAAATTAAGTAATGGTCTCAACTGCTTATCAATACATACAACATGAGATAGTAAAAAGGGTACATGAGATTTTAACAGAATAGTAAATAAAAACATCAATAGGAGGAAAATAAAAAGTTAAGAATTAAATAGGCAGAAATTTTGGCAAAGCAGCTATCTGCTTTAAATGAGTTCAAATATAATCTATATCAAATGTACCATTCTTGCGTGTCTCTCACAGTAACTGTACTCAATAAAGTACTAGTTCCCCACACATGGTCTAGTCCTGACAAAATATATCTGAGTTATGCTTACAAATAATATCACCTAATCCATTGGTTATCTTTGTTAGTGTCAGTTTGGCTTTCATTCTTACCACTGTAAGAATTCAAAAAAACTGTACAGTATTCATTAAAGACACCAATGACCTATACGTAGCTAAATCCAAGATAATTTCTTGGTCCTATTCTTACTTTACCATACTCTTTCCTCCTGAATCAACAGACCTCACTTAGTTTCTTTGACATCACACATCTTAACATTCCTTTCACTTCACTAGCAGTTCCTTACCAGTCACCTCTGCTTATTTCTCTTTTTCTCCTTCATCTTTTAATGTGGAAGTGGTCACATCTCAGATCATAGGCCTCATCCCCTGGCAATCTCATTCATCTAACCCTATGGCATTAAATCTCCTGAATCAACAGACCTCACTTAGTTTCTTTGACATCACACATCTTAACATTCCTTTCACTTCACTAGCAGTTCCTTACCAGTCACCTCTGCTTATTTCTCTTTTTCTCCTTCATCTTTTAATGTGGAAGGGGTCACATCTCAGATCTTAGGCTTCATCCCCTGGCAATTTCATTCATCTAACCCTATGACATTAAATTTCATGTATACGCTGATGGGTCCTTCCTATACGTAGCTAAATCCAAGATAATTTCTTGATCCTATTCTTACTTAACCATACTCTCTCCTCCTGAATCAATGGACCTCACTTAGTTTCTTTGACATCACACCCTCTTAACATTCCTTTCACTTCACTATCAGTTCTTCTAATAGATAAACTAAAATATCTGCTTTGATATGATATATATAAAAATGCCCCAAATTGAAGTACTTATCTTTTCTCCAAACCATCAAATCTTATAGCTATTCAATCCTTTCAGTTGTTTAGGCAAAATATTAAGAGCATTTCTTGACTCCTTTCTTTCTCTTGTAATGCACCAACATTCCAACAGAAAATCCTATTGATTCTATCTTGAAAATACATCTATAATTCAACTGCTTCTCACCACCATCTCCACCCTACCACCCAGGTGTGAACCATGGTTACCTCTCACGTGCTCAATGAAATGGTTTCCTTACAGATCTGTCTTTTTTTGCATGTGCCCCCTTCTCTACTTGTTTTCCACACAATATTCAGAGCAATCCCTTTAAAACTGAAGTCAGATCATGTTACTCCTCTGCTCTTTGGAATCCTGTCATGGCTCCAAATTTCCCTCAGAATGAAAGCTAAAGTTTTATTTTTATTTTATTTTATTTTTTAAATAAATCTTTATTGTTCAGATTATTACAGTTGTTCCCCCTTTTACCCCCCATAGCTACCCTCCAGCCAGTTCCAACCCCATCCTCTGCCCTTACCCCCCACTGTCCTCATCCATAGGTATATGCTTTTTGTCGCCAGGTCAAAGATCATACACATGGAAAATGTAACTATTTCCATCTGCAACATATCCCTGTGTTCAGAAAGGTCTCTCAGGACTTGCTCACGCTCTACTCAGAAAGGGTATGGAGACCTGTAACGGCTTTTTAAAATAATGTGTCCTCTTATGTTTAAAATGAGGATTTTGTTACCAAAAGTGAGGAGAAAGCAACACTACAGCTGCTCTCGCCCCTCTCGCCCTTCGGGTGATAGTTGTGCTTGGGGCTGCATGCTGGTTCGAGGGCTGTTGACGAAGCCATCTGGGTGGCTCCCGCGGTTCTGCTGGCTTCCCAGGGGCCATTGCAGCCTCTCAGGGACCGGGCTTCCCAGGGGCCATTGCAGCCTCTCAGGGACTGTCGCAGCCTTGCAGGGACCGTCTCAGCCTCATAGGGGCCGTCTCAGCCTCACTCGGACCGTTTCAGCCTCACAGGGACCATCTCGGACTCACTGGGACTGTCCTAGCCTCACTGGGACCATCTCAGCCCCACTGGAACCGTTTCAGCCCCACAGGGACTGTCTCAGCCTCACAGGGACCGTCTCAGCCTCACTGGGGCCGTCTCAGCCTCACAGGGGCCGTCTCAGCCTCACTGGGACCATCTCAGCCTCACTGGGGCCATCTCAGCCCCACAGGAGCCGTTTCAGCCTCACTGGGACGGTCTCAGCCTCACAGGGATGGTCTCAGCCTCACTGGGACCATTTCAGCCTCACTGGGGCTTTCTCAGCCTCACTGGGGTTGTCGCAGCCTCACAGGGGCCGTCTCAACCTCACTGGGGCTGTCGCAGCCTCACAGGGGCTGTCTCAGCCTCAATGGGACCGACTCAGCCTCACAGGGGCCGTTTCAGCCTCACAGGGACCATCTCAGCCCCACAGGGACTGTCTCAGCCTCACAGGGATGGTCTCAGCCTCACAGGGATTGTCTCAGACTCACTGGGACCATTTCAGCCTCACTGGGGCTCTCTCAGCCTCACTTGGACCAACTCAGACTCACAGGGGCCATTTCAGCATCACTGGGACCGTCTCAGCCTCACAAGGACCATCTCAGCCCCACAGGGACTGTCTCAGCCTCACTGGGGCCGTCTCAGCCTTACAGGGGCTGTTTCAGCCTCACTGGGACCATTTCATCCTCATAGGGACTGTCTCAGCCTCACCGGGACCGTTTCAGCCTCATCGGGACTGCTTCAACCTCACTGGGGTTGTCGCAGCCTCACAGGGGCCGTCTCAATCTCACTGGGGCTGTCGCAGCCTCACAGGGGCCATCTCAGCCTCACTGGGACCGACTCAGCCTCACAGGGGCTGTCTCAGCCTCACTGGGACCAACTCTCTGTTTTTTGTTGGGCAGCCCCTTGCTGGACAAAATCTCCAGGCGTTCTTGGTGGCTAAATATCTGGTATGCTTGCTTGGATTTCATTTTCTACCAAGTGCACAGACTTCTTGTCTGCTGTCTCCCAGCATCCCATGTGAGACTGGATCTGGTGGACCTGCTTGTGCGTTTGCTGGTACAGCGGTTCCATGTCACCAGCCCAGCCGGGTCTGGCTCTGGCTTCCTCCAAACCTGAGTCTGCTTCTTGAGTGTGTGCCTTATGGGTGCGAGGAGTTGAAATCTGCAGTTTGTTGGGTTATGCTGCGAAAGCACAGCTGTTTCCTTTTGTGCCACTGGCACAGCTTGGGTGGGGGTGTAAATTGAGTAGGGTAGGGTCTCAAGGAATCACCAGGGTGGAGCAAGCAGCAATGGCATCTCAACAGCTCCTCGCCTCTCCACGACTCCGTGACTCCACATCCCCGAGTGCCAGCGAGCAGGTCCGCGAGAGAGCCACCCTTGCTTTCTGACCCACTGCAAGGCCGTCCCGCCTCTCCCTGTAGGGGTCTGAGACCTCAGAATCCCGCCCCAAACAAGCACAGTGGATTCGAGAGTTTGTAACCCTTTCCGATTAAAAAAAAAACCACGCAACCAGTTGCAGCCTGCCTGGCGCACAACTCCAACCTCTGTTCTTGGCGCCTCTAAATATCCCAAGCACAGTGGATTCGAGAGTTTGTAACCCTTTCTGATTGAAAAAAAACCACGCAACCAGTTGCAGCCCGCCTGGCGCACAACTCCATACCTCTGTTCTTGGCGCCTCTAAATATCCTACTCAGTCTCAAAGCGCTTCTTTCTTTCCTTCCAGTTGTAGAACTTCCACTGGGCCAGCTTTCCCATGGTTCTGAATGATAGCTGTTTGTCCTATAGTTGGTAGTTTCAATGTTGTTGTGGGAGGCAGCACGAACAGGTCTATACATTCCTCCGCCATCTTGGTTCTCAAAGCTAAAGTGTTTATGGTGGCCTTTGCAGTCTTACACGATGACCTTCCCCAGGTCTCTGACCTCTTCTCCAGTCACTTCCCTCTGTTCGCTGTTCCTGTGGCACAGGCTCTCACTGTGCTTCTTCAAACACTGTGCTCTGTTCCTAGTCTACTTTTTTTTCCCCTCAACACTTATTCCTTTCCATCAGAGCATACAATGTACTTCGGTATTGTGTTTGTATTTAAGCATCTATTTCCTCACTAGAATTTGAACTCCACAGGGCAGGAAGGGGTTTATCTCTTCTGTTTATGCTTAGGAGAGTCCCTGGTACAAAAGTGCCCAGAAATATTTGTTGAGTGAATAAACTGTGGAAATGGAAAGTATCAGGAAACTAGAAACATTAAAATAAATATTTTAGAAAAGAAGAATAATTTCAAAACTGTAGACATGAACACTTAATGTCAGTTCCAGGTAACATTCTAGAAATGGATTATGAAATGGCTGTAAAATAAGGCAGTGATTCCTAACTTCATTTGCATTTCTGACAGCATGGCCACAGCTATGGTGCAATGTGTTGTTTACTCTTTCAAAATGATATAATGAAAGAATGATTAACGAACCAATACTGGCTATGAGAAAAGCTTCTAGAAAGGTTTTGTTTTCATTGCTAAATTCTTCAAGAAATGTTCCATAGTTTTACAAGGTGAGAGAAAAATACTGAATCTACCATAATAAAATTGGTTTGGCTAAACTATTTGCACAAGTACAGGATAACAGCAGTGACATTTTTAACAAAATATGGAAAGAGCCATCTTAGGAGTTTAGTGTAAATTACATTTAATATGTGTCAGTAACCCCTTGAGGATTGGTACGTTTTCCTCCTATCTGAAGAAAAATACGTTACTGATCATGTTTCTTTTCTGCTGCCAGCTTAAGTTTTGGCTGCCTCAAGTCTGTTAAAGCAATCTTCATCAGCTGTTTGCCAACTTCACAAACATTTTGTTGTCTTCTCTCCCATTCTTCCCACTTCGTGGACTGATTCCCAATGTGGCAATGTAGAGGGAATTCAGGGAGTAATTAAAATTAGTGTGGATAATCAATTTGCCATCATTTCTAAGAAGTTGGGAACGAAATGTTTTCAAGACTTCTTTGTTCCCAGGTACTGTATGACTCTGACACCTTTTACACAATGCAAAAGAATGTGTCGACTGTGACCCATGCATTTTTAGACTCACCCACATTTCTGCATACATCTCCAGGCCTTTATCCTGCAGTTTAGCCCGTTCTTCTTGTTCAATTTCTCGAATGCTAAGGATCCTGGCCCTGTACTGTCGGAACTGGTGGACCTCCTCTGCCTTTTGCATTGCTTGCTGCTGATTCAGGTCATCTGTTTGCAGCAAAGGCTCCGTATTTGTTTTCCTTGATAATAAGAAACATTGAAAGAGAGGCAATAAATGGAGATGGAAAAAAATTAAAATTAAAAAAAGGGAGAATTAAATCATTTGGGAACTCTAAAATGAATTTTATCTTAGAACTCAAATAATTTAATATCGTTAACAGTATGGTAGTCTGAATAAAATCAAATCTGGAATAGAAATAATAAACCATTATTTTTAGATGGACTATATTCCATCCATTGAATCACTGATATTTTAGAAAATTATTTTAGGGTTATATCAGTATAATTAGATGCACCACTTGATAAGATGTTTGTGAAACTGGTGTTTGAAAATATAAGCCTATTATTCAGATCTTCCTTTTTAATTTAAGCAGCTAAATAATTTTGAAAATGTCTCCAAACATACAAATATGCTTGGGTAACTAGCTCTGTATTAATCCTATTATGTGGTTCTTAAGGAAGCTGAATTTAACTAAATAACGGCAGTAGGTATGGTGAGAATCTTCTGCAGCTCAACTCACCTTAATCAAGTTGCACATTAAATCTTTCAGAAAACACTGAAATTCATGTACTTCTAAAAATTTAAATACACTGAAAATATATTAAGCATTTAATTTCAAATTTCACTTAACAACTGTCTATTAGCAGTATAACCAAAATTCTACAAACACAGATGCCTACATTAATCATGTTTACTAAAACTTACCGTATATATTGATTTATATCTAGATCTAGCGCCTTTTGAATAAGTCGTGGAGACATTTCCAAAAATGATTGAGATCGTGAAGTAATCCCTGTTAAAAAAACAATCTTAAACTTCCAAAAAAATCAACAATGACTAACTAAATGAGTGTTAGATCTTATGTTAATGAAAGATAGCATTTTCTGTTAACAAAACAACCATTGATTGGACTTGCCTTATGTAATGATTTTAATGTGATTTAATATGCCTTAAAATATAATTATGTTTTATATTTATCTTTCACTGCTGTTACTATGCTCACAGTTAAATAAAAAAGATGACAAAATGAATATAATCTATAAAAACATAACAAAATGTTATTCTAATTATGGGTAAATGAAGGTGGGAACAAAAAGAAGTCATTTAAGTTATGAAACTACATTATAAACAAATTAAATGACCCAACATTTAAAGAACTTGGTTTATATATGAAAGGTATACTAAGCATGCATGGGTAGAACATAAAAATGTTTAAGGCACAGTATTCTATCTTCAAAAAATTTTTAGCCCAGTGTAGCAGGCAACATACAATAGATGAACAGTGAATGCCAAATTAGTAGGATCTTTTTACTCTATAGACCAGTAAGAAACCCATAAAAACAGAGTTAAGAAAAATTTCAGTTACTAGGATACTATCAGCCTTTCCAGACCATTTTATAAAAATATATTTATTTTTAAATTATAGTTGACATGCAATATTATATTATTAGTTTCAGGTATACAACATAGTATACCTGAAACTAATAATATAATATATGTAATATAAATAATATAATATATATATATTATTTGCCTGGTGCATGAAATTCATGCATGGGTGGGGGCAGTCCCTCAGCCTGGCCTGCACCTTCTAGCATTCCAGGACCTTTTGGGGGATGTCCAACTGCTGGTTTAGGCCCGATCCCACCGGTCAGCAGTTGGACATCCCTCTCGCAATCTGGTACTGCTGGCTTCTAACTGCTCGCCTGACTGCCTGATCGCCCCTAACCACTTGCCTGCCTGCCTGAGTGCCCTGGTTTCTGGTCATTTTGGTCGTTCCACTGCTTTGGTTGCTGGGCTTTTATTATATAGGATATATCTAATGAAGTTATCACCACAATAAGTCTGGTACCCACCTGACACCATACATAGTTATTACAATATTATTGACTCTATGCTCTACAATGTATTCCTGAGACTTATTTTATAACTGGAAGTTTGTACTTTCTAATCCCGATCACTTTTTTGCCCATTCTCCCACCCCACTCCCCTCTGCTAATCATCAGTTTGTTCTCTGGTATCTATAAGTCTATTTCTGCTTTGTTTTGCTTATTCATTTGTTTTTTTATATTCCACATATTAGTGAAATCATATGGTATTTATCTTTCTCTGTCTGGCCTATTCCCTTAGGATAATACCCTCTATGTCCATCTGTGTTGTTATAAATGGCAAGATTTTATTTTATTTTATTTATTTTTTAAAAATATATATTTTATTGATTTTTCACAGAGAGGAAGGGAGAGAGATAGAGAGTTAGAAACATCGATGAGAGAGATACATCGATCAGCTGCCTCCTGCACATCTCCTACTGGGGATGTGCCCGCAACCCAGGTACATGCCCTCGACCGGAATTGAACCTGGGACCCTTCAGTCCACAGGCCGACGCTCTATCCACTGAGCCAAACCGGTTTCGGCAAGATTTTATTTTTTTATGGCTGAATAATATTCCATCTTTCGAGTCCATTTGGTTTCTTTTTGAAAAAATTGCTAAAGTATAATTTATACACCACAAATTTTGCCCATTTAAAAAGTATAATTTGGTACTTTTTAGTAAATTTACAGAGGTGGGCAACTAGCACCAAAATCCACTTTTAAACCATTTCTATTACCCAAATAAAATCTCATGCCCTTTTACAGTCATTCTCCATTTTCTCCACAAGTCACAGCCAACCATTAATCTACTCTGTGTCTCTTTAGATTTGCCTTTATTGGACATTTCATGTAAGTAGAAATGGTAAAATTATTTCTAACTTTTCAATAAACTGCCAGTCATATTGCTTTGATCATTGTTGGCTTCATAATAAACTCTGAAATCACAAAGTCATAATCCTCCTCCTTGGTTCTTTATCAGAATTAGTTTGGTCATTCTGAGCCTTTTATATTTCCACTAGAGACCTGATGCATGAAATTCATGCAAGGGCTTCAGCCCTTGCCACCACGGCAGCTGCCTCTGCCTTGGCCCCCGCCCACTGTGGCTTTGTCCAGAAGGATGTCAGAAGGACATCGAGTCTAATTAGCATATTATGCTTTTATTATTATAGATATAAATTTAGAGGTCAGCTTATCAAATTGTGTAAAATATGTACTAGGATTTTAATAGGGAAAGCACTAAATTTATAGATCAATTTGGAGAGAATTAAATATAAATATACCATATTACTATATTGAATCTTCTAATCCAAAGCATGGACTACCTACCTCTCTCTCTATTTAGATCTTTGAAATTTTTTTTCAGTGATGTTTTATAACTTTCAGTATGTAAATGTTTGATTTTTGTTAAATTTATTTCCATATATTCATTAGTGATGCTATTGTGATTAAAACGGTCTAAATTTAATTTTGATTGCTCATTGATAATATGCAGAAATAAAAGCATATTTTGTGTATTAATCTATATCATGTGACCTCACTAAACTCACTTATTAGTTGTAAATGATATTCTTGGTTCTTTTTCTCTGATCTCTTAGAATTTTCAATGTAAGGATCAATTTGTCTGAGAATACAGTTTTACTTCTTTCTTTCCAATATGGATGTGTTTTATTTATTTTTTTCTTATTGAAATGGCTAGAACTTCCTTCAAAGTATTGAATATAGGTGGTTAGAATGGCCATATTGCCTTGTTCTTCACCGTAGGCTGAAATCACTATGGTTGTTTTATTACCCTGATCTCCCTGTTCAGTTTTTGACTGATTAGTTGCTTGCCTTGACCAGCATCACAGTACCCAAAGGGACCCAGATCCTCCCCTGGAGCCTCCAGGAAAAAGGCAGCCCCAACAACACCTACATTTTAGAATTTCTTCCCCATAGAACTGTAAGAAATTAGTTTGTGTTGTTTTGAGCCATCAAGTTTGCCAAGTTTGCGGTTGTTACAGCAGTGAAAGAAAACTAATTCAATTAAGAAAATTTATTTGTTGTTCTTATTTTTAATAAACATTTTTTACTTTGTTGTATGCCTTCAGAGTTTTGAAATGTTTTTTTGGCCATTTTTTTCCTTATTGCTGCTTTTTGGGATGAGGGCATGTCAAGTATTCACCATTTAAGAAGTCTTACCTTCCCCCCCCCCCCCCCCCACACACACACTGACTATTTAACCTTGCTTTTTAACATGTGGTTATAATAGTCTCCAGAAATATTGTCAAGCATTTAATTTTTAACAACTTGTTAAAAGTGATCTTTCATTCAAAATATAATCTAATGTAAACTTTTAAAAATATAAAAAATAAAATCCAAATAAATTTTTTAGTTTTTTTCCAAAAAATACAGTCATGTACACATGAGAAAATAAAACATAATAATACAAATCCTAACTCTGCTCCATTATTAAAACATAAATTCAATCATTGTTTTTATTAAATAACATTAAATAAAAGTTTCCTAAAGTATCAAAATTTTATTATATGACTCTTTTAAAAACCAGTAGCACTAACTTTTCTTTTTTCATCATAGTTACTTTGGGATCTTAGGTTTCTAAAGTACATTTGCTTTTCTTATTACATATCTACCATATTAATGTTAGGTGTATTTTTGGCATTTCTAACTTGAATTATTTCTATAAGATACCAACTGCTGATTTTGGCTGGAAAGAAACTATTTTCTGATTAATTAGATGTTTGTGATTTTTTTATATCCAGCCAAATAATATATATTTAAACTCAGAGAGTAGAAAATGGGCAGAGGAATCTTCATGTTAATCTACAAAACTCTGTTGTATCAGAACAACGTGTGAATATAGTATGACAGTCTTGAACCTCTGAACAGTGCAGCTCAAAGTGTGTGTGTGTGTGTGTGTGTGTGTGTGTGTGTGTGTGTGTGTGTGTGTGTTTGTGTGTGTGTGTACCATCCTCCATCTGAAAGTGACAGTATGCACAAGAATAATTTCACAGCAATTGGTTATCACTGGGTCATTTTATTGTATTTTACAAAGTTTCAGTTTGCAAAAGACTCAGAGACAACTTTCATGACAGGTAGTATGAGAATTAGTATTTAAAAGTCATGGCAAAGAATGGTTTGACTGATTGTGCGGTCTGAAGAAAAGATTTTAGAATAAAGACAGTGATCATGTCCAACCTCTGGAAGAGGCACTTTTCAGAGGCCCCCAGAAATAAAAGGGACATTGAAAGCAATGTTTAGGCTCTTGGCCTTGACAATGGCTTGGTGTAGAAGAAGACTGCTTAGGAGTGAGTTCCATAATGATATTGTTTTCATGACCTCTCTCATTATGAAGCAAGTTGTTCTAAGTTACCTACTATTATGAAAATAGAAAGTAGCAAGAGTAAGGTCGCTTTAGGGAGTCACAAATATTGATGGGAAGGTAGAGGCCATACCACATGAGGCTCTCACAGGGCATAGCCCTCCCAGCACAATTATAACCAAAAGGCTATGGTTGTAAGCTTGACCTTATAGTCCAACCCTGCAGTCCTAGGTAGCTAAGGGATGTATGGGCTGTGAGGGGTGCAGCAAGTGTTGCCTAAACAAAGCTTGATAGAGTTGAGAGAATGGCAACAATAGGAAAGAAGCAGATTTGAAACTGGCAAGAACATTGTAAACATCTTGCCTTTGTTTTGTTTTGTGTGATCTGACTATAAAATAAAGCTTCGGCTTACAGGCTGTGTCACTGTTTCCTCATCCAGGCACAGTGATCCTACCTGGCCCCAACTGTATTCTTTTGTCTGTCTTCTTTAATCCTTCACCGCCCCTCCTCAGGCTCACCCCTGGCCGTGCTCGATGCAGTTCATATAATATCTTATGGGCAATGCTTTTCCAGGGATGAGGGCCAATTTGTGGTGCACCAACAGCAGAGGTGGAGTAACAGCAAGTTCCAGATAACTACTGACAATCAGACCCATGATCTCCAGTAGGATTCCTTCTACAACCACAGTATGTGGGCACATGGCAATGTTTCAGAGGGTTAGGATGTATTGCAACCACACACAACATAGTTTTTCTTGATGGTGTGTAAATAAACTTACCATTTTATGTTAAATTAAAATTATAACACCAATTTTTTAAGAATGTTTTAAAGAAATTTTTGCTTTAGGACAGGCTACTTTGATCCTCCCTTCCTGCTTACTCTTACCTTTCTTCCCTACTTGCTGACCCCTCCTCCTCATCCCAAAGTACACTCTTTTACAGTTATGCAAACTTGAAGGCAAATGTCTGAAGACTAATGGCCAAAAGTGTGAAGAAATGAGCAGCAGGAGAACTGACACTGAAGCCTGGTCTGGGGCTCAGGATTAAAAATAAAATCTACACTCTGACTGCAGAGGACTCTGTTATCCAGGCTGCTCTGGTTACATTCCATTTTTTTTCAACTGGAAGAGTTTCTCATTAGCATATAAATAAACCATTTGAGATGGGAGTTTAATTCTATTTTCATTTTATAGATATTTAAATTAACTAATTGTGGGGGGAAAAGTTTATGGAATCAAAAGAATTAGGGTTTGAGTGTTGATTCTATCCAAACTCTACCAGCTTCCTCTCCTTGGGTGAGTCATCATTTTATCTCCTTCGTCTCCAAGGCAGAGATACCATATATGCTTTATCTAGTTCACAGAGGCTCAACTGCGATAAATATGCCAAAGCACTCTATCAATTGAATATTAATGTGAAATGATAGATGTGTCCTAGTGCCACTACCATGCGCATTACCTATTAAATGAGTGCTTGCTTTCAAAATACGGGTTCAAAACTCTCAGTATCTCTTTTTAGTGTGATAAAGGAGTCTGAATTTTCTTCTTTACAGTGAAAAATCATTTAAGGGCATGTTTTAGTCATAAAGTGTTTAATTTTAAAATTCTCAGACTGGTTCAGCAATGTTGAAAAGAGAACCATTGCTGGCATTTCTGAGGATGCTTCCTTCCAGAACATTCTCCTCCCTTGCCTGGGTTCTTAACAAGTAGAGAACAAAAGAGTGAGATTTTACTACTGACAGAGGTGTAACTGGAGGATGTAGCCTCAGTGAGGCAAATGGGCCAAGATCACAGAACCCTGGAGGTGGCCAGCAGGCAGCCCCTCCTCCTCATAAGTAGTGCTTCCAATTCAGGAAGGAGCAGGGAACTTGGGCCCCATGAGCAGCCCAAGACACAAGCCTCTTAACAATAGAAAGTCTGAGAGCTGCTTAGGGAAAATCCTCTCTGGCCCTCCAAGCCCACTCCCCCGGAAGCCAGGAATGTGCAGACCTCTCTCTGTGACACCATCCATGAAGGGCTTAGGTTCATTTTAGTAAATAAATGCAAATCAATGCCACACAAAAATGAACCAATTCAGTGTGGCTTGTGTGCCACTGAACACTGCTCTCTTTTCTTCTTCTTCTTCTTCTTCTTCTTTTTTTTTAACTGCTTTCTTCCAACCGTTTAGAAACCAAATATTTAAAATTTGTTATAAAAGGAAAAGAAGAAAATCTATCCTGTAGCTTACTGTAGAGAAAACAAAAAGGATGTGTTTGGTGACAATGTGTTTGTGATTAGTACAATTTTACTTTCAGGTATAACTACATACTTTAGAACTGCTACTTTTTAAAAATATTTGCTTACTTTTATTTTTAGGATAAGTGTTTAAACAATCAGATTCTTAAGCAGATTATCAACTTTGATAAGCCCAATGAAGACCTGTGCATCTAAAATACAAATTTTTCTATGGCATACCCCTCGACACCACATTTTTTAAAGTTAGTATGTGTTCCAGGATTTTTCTTCCAAAACATGTACTTATCTTACCCACGAGAGTGATACCCACAAGTGTGATACTCACTCCAGTTATCCTTCCGCAGCTCAT